ATATATATATATATTATATATATATTATATATATATATCTCATAGCAGACCCTCAGCGATGAAACTGTTGGCTGTGCAAATCCTACCTTTTGCCATTTGAGGGAATCCTGTCTTTAATGTGAGCTCTCCTGTGACAATTACATCACCCTGCCCTAGACCTGCCTGCTGCAGGTTCTGTTACTATGAATTTCCCACTCTTATTTCACTTGAAGTTTTGTCTCAGTGCTAGCATTTAGACTGCTCCCCAGCCAAGTTCTAGAAGGTCCGACCTCATCACGTCTATCTCCCGTCATACTGTTAAGAAGACGCTCCTCTGCTAGGAGATGTCACTTAATATAAGAAGTTCTAGGATTTTTAATGTATTCCTTTGTTATGTCCTTATTTTAAGGTAACATACAGTAATGATTTCTATAATGGTATTTTGGGCTGGGGCTTTAGCTCAGTGATGCCGCCACCTGCCTCGCAAGTCCAAGGTCCTGAGTTTGATCCCTGGAACCAAAAAAGAGTACATTTAAAATTTTAAAATATATATAATGGTATTTTTCTACTGAACCAATAAGTGAGAGTGAAAGGAAGAGGTAAAAAACTAGCATACATTTTTAGCTTAAAGATCCTTGCAGCAAAGACCTAAATTTTGTATACAATCATGTTGGTTCTCTTACTAATCAACACTTTTTCACATGGAACTCAGTCTTAAAAATATGAAGTGCCTTTTTACTGCTGTTGCTGAATATAGATTTTGGTCCGTAGAATACTTTTAAGCTGACAGACTACTCTGAAGTATGTAGGATCTTCAGATAATCTGAAATTTGAACAGACTGGTCTGTTTCAGATAACCTTTAGTAATAAATGCATGGTTTATCCACACTGTCTTTGCCCCTAAATGGTCAATAACTGGTAATGCCACTGGTGATGTATTTCTTTTTCATATTGCCTGGATGATTGTGTTGATGCATATTTCATCATGCTTTGCCCTTTCTGAAACCTCTTTGTCTTAATTACAGTCAAGAAAAAGCTTGGCTTCATTCCCAACCTATGTTGAAGGTAAGAGTAGAAAAGAAAATACTGTGCACTGAATCATTCATGAATTTTTCATTATTTGGAGCATTTGAAGCACTCTGAAGAAGGAAGTAGCATAGAAGAAAACTCACAGTGTTACTTACTCCAGTGCTAACAATCTTAGGATCTTGGGCCAAAAGAACACTCAGTAAACCTCTCAGAAATCTTCCTCCCGATGTGGATAGTGACCCTGAAACTGTGAGCTTCACCTAGTGTGGTGCAGCTTAGCCGAGTCACTACTTCCTTTCACCCAGGGCATCTCCTGTGTCCCTCAAGAGCAATTCAAATGGTATAAACTTTAGCAAGGAAGCTTTGTTCTTCCTATGGGAAAAACATTCCCAGTAAGTATCATCTCTTATTTAGACAAACTTTATTGGTAACATTTAACAAACATTTCTCTAGCAGATATTTTTAAGCATTTTTGCATATAATACTAATTGACTCCCACATAGATCTCATGAGGTGAGTTTAATTACCTTCATGCTATGCATGAGAGAACGGAAGCATCGAGAGGGTGAATAACTTGCCTGATATCAAGCAGGTAGTAGAGCCAGGTTATGAAGGCAGCCTCTGATACCAGCTGACTTCTTAATTTTCTCTGGAGCCCGTGTTCTCTTCAGGGCTGAAGACCAGGGAGGCCAAAACTCAACCCAAAGCTTGAGATCATGCCACCCAAATGGGGTGCATAGTCCTCATTCCCAGAGTCACCCTCTGGCTACAGGTAACATTGATTCAGTAGCGGAGGGGGGCAGATGAACTTTCTGGTAGGGTAGATGGGGTAGATTGCTGTCACCTTAGAGAGACTCTTCAGGAGACTATGTCCAGCCTATGGGTCCTGTGAATGAACACTTGTTGTGCTTTGCTGCCTGCAGATGAGTTAACAGAATTCATAAACCTTCATGAGCACATGGGCCTGAAGCCCAGGACAAGCTAATAGTTTGGTATACTTGAATTATGATGGTTGAGTTTCTTGTTGAGTAGGCTGTCAACCATTTGTACCATGTGTGTGTGAAGTTCTGAAATGCCACAAGAACATCGTGCAGAGTTTTCAGAGGTTTGTAAACTCCTTTCTTCATAGCCATCCCACCAAGCCTCAGGAATTTCAGGTTCAGCATTAATCTGGGTGTGAGGTGATAACATGTGCTCATTCTCCCACAGGGCTGCCTGAAAGGAAGGGAGAAACATCTTGCAAAAGGCCACAGTGAAACCTGAAACTTTTTTATGTAGGATCTTTATAGCTTTGCTTTTTAAAAAATACACCAGCACCAAGACTAAAGTTGTTTCCCTGAAGGATAAATGGCATAAGATCCTATCTAACCTTAAAATTTGTTTGCATTCAATTTTTGTATCTTTAGATGCTTGGCATTTATACTTATTTGGGTTTCTTTTAAACATACCTGCAATTTCACACTTACTGTGATTGAAAAGGGACACTTTTTCAGTGAATAGAGCTAATCAGAGATGAATAGATGATATTGGGAGTCCCATAGAAAAGGTAGGTTAATTTTTTATTTACTTTTAGTATACAAAATAGAAGATTTTTTTTAAAGTATCACAGATGAGATCTTTTTTCTCAACATCAAGTTAGGAAAAATAATCAGTATTGTAAATCCACCAGAAGGAATTTATCTGAAGACTGACAACCTTACACTGGGTGTCTATACATGTAGTTAAACTAGTGCTTCCAGCTATACACCTAAAACTGGTTATTGTATATATCCTGATTTGTTCTCATAGCCATCAAAATTTCAGGGTAGGAACCACTTAACTGTTGAGAAGAATGTAAATTCCTGGTGTACCATTGAGGCAAACTGGGCTGTATACTCCTGGAGTGTTTGTCCATAGGTCTTCCCTAGAAAGATTGAAAATAGGACACGTAACAGGTTTCCTTATTACAGTACTATACAGACGCTTTATGAAGGTCTTTTCTAAAACATTTTTAATTTCTTCAGCCACCACTTTAGTTTTAGAAAAATGAATAGATTGTTTTGAGTCTGCACCCTGGTAAGTAGCTTATCATAGGAGGCAGCTGTATAAACTCAAGATGAATTTGATGGTTAAAGATAAAAGTAACAACCGTTGCAGATAAGCCTTCCAAGAGGAAAAGCAAACTGTTCCCATTTCAAGTTACTGAGGTTTTAATAGTGGATTAAATGTATATTTTAGTTCCCCCAGATTTCCATTTTCCAAGTCAAAGAAAATGTTTCAATTACAGATGAACATACCTGTCTTAGTGAACCTGTTATAAAGTTATGTTGGTCCCAGATACGTTTTAATTTCACATAGAGCTTACAGGTGATTCTGGTTAGAATCAGATACCAGTACTGAAAATATTTAAAATTAAGGTTTGATTTGCTAGAATGGTGAATGAGAACAGAAAATTCTGCTTCTCCTTGGAATTGATCTGTGTGTGGGCACAAGTGGCAAATATTATGGATTTTAAGTTGGCAAGATTGGAAGTAGAGGACCATGATTTGGGGGAAATGTTATATAGCTTCCAGAATTAGGGTCAGAAGCCATTAAAGGAATCCAGATATTTCAAGTGAAATATCCCTTTTCCTTTTTTTGGAGGGGGGCGTTGAGACAGGGTCTCACTATGTAGTTGAGACTGACCTGGAACTCACTGTGTAGCCCAGGCTGGTCTTGAACTCACAGCGATCCTCCTGCCTCAGCCTCCGGAGTGCTGGGATTACAGGCTTGTGCCACCACGCCCAGCTTCCCATTTTTCTAATTTATGGAAATCATTGACTCCATTATGGAGGAGAAAGAGATGAATAGGTGACAAGTCATAGTAAGTGCTGAATGAAATAACATTTTCCAAATAGTCTTCAGGTCACCCAGCCATTTATCTAGCAAAATCTAAGTGATCCCCACAAGGGAACAGACACAGACTTCAGGATGAATATGACATGGTTCTTGTCCCCCTGACATGGTTCTTGTCCCCCAGGACCTCATAGTCGTAACAAGAGAAACATCTTTCGTTGCTGGATTTTACTTCATATTTCAGTAAATGCTTGTATCATTTCGCCCAGTACACGATTGGGGGAAGTGACTATAAAAAACCATGCCTTCTACCTGAGAAGGAGGGGTGAATTAAGGCAGATATAAGTGCCTCAGACCAGCAGGCTGCCCACCTATCCAGGGGTCTCTGTACCTGGCCTACCTTTGCAGGTAGCGAGCGTGGGAAGGGGTGGTGTGCCTTCTGGGTGTTGGCAGGACCTCCCCACGGTGGCTTCACTCACTGCTGCTACTCTGTGTGTTACAGTTCCTGGACCTTGTGACCCTGAAGACTTGATCGATGGAATCATTTTTGCCGCCAATTACCTTGGCTCCACCCAGCTGCTCTCAGACAAAACTCCCTCCAAAAACGTGCGCATGATGCAGGCCCAGGAGGCAGTAAGCAGAATCAAGGTGAGGGGACCGTGTGGTTAAAGGAAGATGGTGGTGGCTGCAGGCACTTGAACCATCCACAGTGCCATCCCACACCTCTGTGTCTAGTCCTGAGTTTAGAGTGGACTGAGATAACATTGCAGGCAGTTGTCCCTCTTAACAGTTCTAAGAATGAATATTTCCAATGTGTATTAGAGTCTTCGAACACTATCAGGTTATTCTATATGGCAATGCATGAGGAAAAGTAAATATGATCATAGACTTTTTGAAAAGTTGATAGAAGTCAGTGACTTGAACATTCATGTAGAGTTGAGTCAAGGTGGATGCCACTGCTTTTGAACCTGTTGATTTTGTTCAAGTTAGATTGAACTGGGTTTGTTAAGTAAAAACAAGCCACTTGATCAGTCTGACCTCGCTAGTCTAACCAAGTTAGTGCAAGTCTAACCCAGTGTAAACTAGTTCAAGCCAGTCATGACCTATTTGAATGTTTTATCAAGATTTAAAAGGGGCAATCCTATTTGATCCAGCAGGAACCACTTTCATCTGGTTTAAGTCATTCATAACTACTTTGAACCTATGAAAACCAGTTTGTTCTCACAGAAACAGAGCTCTCCATCAAGATGGCCAAACCACCTAGAATTGTGGACAAATCAGAAAGACAGAGACATTTAGCATGCATTCATAGTGTCCAAATGTCACTGTACCCCCAGACTGTAGAACTGCAGGTAGCCACCCCAGAGGCCCACCAACATAAGTTTTACCTGCTTGAAACTTGATACCCCTTTGGCTATATTCAAAGAGCCATTGCCTTTCCATGCCCTCTTACACATTCCCACAGTGTGTGCTAGTGTAACGTGAGAGGATGAGTAGAAGGCAGTAAGCGTCTCTAATCTCTTAGAATATTCCTTGTGACTGTTGTGAATGGTCTTAGGAGAGAAGAAAAAGTGAGATTTTTACCCGAAGCTCAACAGCACAGATGAGAAATCAGCCCACAGAGATATAGAGTGTGCCTCCCGGGAGTCTTTGCGGGCAGGGTACCACCAAGAGGCAGGAGGGAGGAAGGACCGACCACTCAGAATGGCACTTAGGGGAGGCAGTGACTGGCCCGGGCCTTTTACCTGAACAAATGCCTGTGGTGAGCACATGTCCAGGCTCTGCCATGTGTTGAATCCTGAACAGGTCGTATTTCCATTGCTGCCTTTACTCTGATGACTTTGAGCCCCCAGCTATGCTGCAGTCCCCGTGATACTATGTGAATGTCCCTGGGTCCCCTCTCATGGCTTCCTCATCACACAGCTTTGCATTGCATCTGCCGTGGGGCGCTTCGTGTGTCACTTGCTTCTCACTGCTCAGAGGAGGCACTTCTCTTCAGCACTGGCCCTTTCCTTAGCTACCCATATTAAGTACAGTAAGCCCATGCTGCATCTTTCGATGCACAAACCAGGGAGTAATATACATTACTGCCAACCCAGTGTCAATATTACGGACAGGACTTGCTCATCCTCCCGTGTGCAGGGGGCCCATTCGGCAGCTTCATCTGGGTTGCACAAACCTTGACTGTACCTCAGAAGCCCTGCAGCCCCTTCCTGTTCTGTGTGTGTCTTCCCCTAAAATTAGCACCTCCTAGGATGACGGACATCGTCTTCCCTGCTTCCCCCGGCCCTTCACAGTGATGCCTCTCTGCCAAGGGTCTATGGTCCCCATCAGGACAACTCCATTATAGCGTAGAGGTAATAGGACCTTCATACCTCCGACTCTTTCAAGAAGCATATAGTGCTGTGGGTAAAACTCACCAGGTTCTTGTTGAGCTGCCTGCCCAAGCATGGTGTGTTATTACTTCGTCATATTGACAGAAAGCCGACTAAGATAGAGAAGAGAGGAAAGGTTTGTTTTGGCTCATGCTTTCAGAGGTGTTTTGGTCCATGGCCACATGGCTTTGAGCCTGTAGTGCGGGAAACTGCGAAACTGCTTAACTCCTGGTGAGTAAAAGGAATCAGGCTTCCCATCTGCCTGTAAGAGCACAACCCATGATAAAATTTCTCTCCATGAACCTCACCTCTTAAAGGTTCCTTCACCTACCAAGAATGCCACAGTCTAACAACGAGGCCTTTAATATGTGGCCTTTGGGGGACATTTCAGATCCAAACTATATAAGCACTTGGCCTAGTTCCTTCTGTCTTTCCTGCCCACAAGAGATGACATTAATGATAGCCAAATTTCCAGTAGTCTTCTGCATCTTAATTCAGCATCTGCCAGGCACAGCATTCAAAACTCCACACAACCCTCTCATTGTGAACCAGCTGCTTTTCAGGCACAGTCCTGTGCTACCTCATGCAGAGAACTTTGAAAACATCATCCATCGCTCATGTCCCCCAGGTACAAAACCCAGCACCATCTTTCTAGGGTGGTTCTGTTAGCTTCCTTTAGGAGAAGACATTGACCTTGTCTGCCTCATCTGAAAGATGGGTGGAGGCATTTCTGCTTATGACAGTAACTGGGGGCATTTTCAGAGCCAGCCAAGTATGTGCACTCAATACCCTGCAGTGTCCAGGACAGAGCTACACAGCACAAATTTATCTCTATGAAAATGCCACAGTGCTGATACCAACAAACACAGTCAGTTCCCACTCATGTACTCTTCCAAAGAAATCCAGTCTGTCCCCCAGGGAGTAGTGGCGACTCCAGAGAGAGAAAATTTCATGTTGCCTGGAGGTTAGTTTCTCCTAAGTTTATCCATCAAGGTTTACAAAATCTTCAGATTCAGATTTTTTGGGGGGTACTTTATGTATTCACTTTCTGCTCGGTTTTGACACCGTCAGTGGAATGCCTGTCTATCCTACTGAATGTAGGACTCTGATGGCCTTAGGGGAAGGCAGGCACATCACCTGAACACATGGGATACAGCAGCACCCCTGTACCAGGCCCATCTGGTGCTAGTTAGATCCTGAATTATGTTTTCTTATTTACAGCGATATCTAATAGTGTTGTTTTTCCATGAAGGTGTAGCTCCCTCATAAGAAATCAGAAATTTTACTTTGAAGCTACTAAGGGATTGGTTTTTAGAAGCTCCATTGTTCATTTGAACCTAAAATTAGAGGACTCTCAATCAGATAGTTATAAATACATTTTAGACCTTCCTATAGCAGAGTAGACATTTGAGAAACACATTTTTATAAGCAAATTACTCTCGTGAGAGAAGTTCATTATACCATGGTACAATTAATGGTTACATTTCATTTATAAGTATCATTTTCCAATGTCTTTCTGTTCACTGAAAGGAACTGCTGCCTGTCATTAAATATTTTCTGCTTCACATTCATTTTACATCTTTTAAAATGCCTGTCAGATTGTTTGACATTACACATAGCCAGAAGCCTTTTCCAACTAAGTAAGAGAGAGCCGTTGATCTCAGCACCCCCAGGAAGCCGTTGGGTCAGGAAGCAGGCTCAGTGTTTCCTGAATGCAGAGGAAAACATTTACTCGGGGCAGGCTGGGCTGGGTCCAGTAAGCTTGCATCTTACGCTCCCCTGTGCCCAGGGGACAGCGTTCTCCAAGGGATTTGGTTCCCTATGAGAACCTGACCTTTCAATGAGTCGAGGCTACCTCAGCAGGAAGGATGCAGATTTCATAGTGTGCATCCAGGGAGGAAGGAGAAAGAAAAGCTCTGGACATCTATTTTGCCATCCATTTAGCAGTGTGTTAAAGCCCCAAGCTTAGACAGTAAGCTCTGACATGGTGCTCTCACCTAGAAAAGGTGCAGCGGTTTCCTCCTCGCTTTCTGCCTCCCTTGCTCCCTACAAACATTGTTCCCTCGGCCTCCAGGATGTGTTTGACAGGAGGGATGTGAGTGCATCCTGGCAACTGTGGGGCTTCTCTGAGCAGATGCTGACCTCCGCCCCGAAGTTTCCATTTCAAAGCAGTCTTTAATTTGTGTTTTGTTTGTTTATTGTGTCTGTCACTCACATAGCAGCAACTGTACGTGAGGACTGCTCATGGGATCTACACCTGGAATTTGGAGGTGCTCGTTTCTTAGTTTAACAAAAATTACAGATCTGTTTACCAAATGGAGAGAGAATTTGGAGCTATGGTTTGGCTGGGCATTTTCTATATAATGTAAGAAGAAAACACAGGAATTTGGCTCAAAAAGGAAACTGCCAGAATTGACCAGTACAGTCCTTGAGAAACTTGTAGTTTAGGTAACATTACTGTGAGGCACACCAAGGAATCTGAAATGAAAAGCCTATTCTGCCTACCAGAATGTAAGATATGAAGCCTGTTTAAACACAATAACAGAATTCAAAGACACCTACCATTTCTCTCCTCATCTTTATTTAGCCCTTCTATTATGTATCATTTTGCGTTTTGCATTCATCATTTTTTAGAAAAAATGCTATCCTTCCACGACCCAGCCCTCCCCCGTGCCTTAGGCATACATTTAGAACGGTTGTTTTCTAAGGGCATTCCTGGGAGCAGCAGCACTTAAGAACTCATTCGAAGTGCAAATTCTCAGGCCAGGCCTGACTTGAGACTCACTGAGTCAAAGTCACAAGGTTGGGAGGACAGCTTTCCAGAAGATTCTGACTGGTGCTAGTACATGAATCACTGTCACCTAGCACGGCGAAGCCTCTTACCCATCTGCTCTGCAGTGTTCCAGTCAAGCCGAATGCTTGTCACTATTAGTAAATTCAAGAAATTCTCCAAAGTAAATCTTTCTTGTACATTTTCCCTGTGTTTTCCTAGTAAAAGATATGAGAAGAAACTTTTCAACTGGACAAAGAGGTGCCCAGCACTTAACCTCTTCCTCCACAAGGACAAACCCACGTGATATCACATAACTGCATTTTGTGGTGACTGTGGGAAGACACTGGGAACCCAAAAGGAGAGAGGCTGGAACTGTGTAAAATGCAGAGACCTGGGATAATAGCATAGAAAGGGAAACAGAATTCCCAGCGTGTACATTCTGTGTGCACATCTGAGGGAAGAGGGAAAGAGGGCCCCAGCAAACTATTACGGTGGGTGCT